TATAGGGAACAAACGAATTGGATGAAGATGATAACAGGAAAACGTGCAGTAGAGAGAAAAAGAATGACAGAGCGTTTCTAGATGTCTTTGAGCTAGAAGACGACTGTTCGGACTACCATTTAAAGTAACATTGAACATCCCTTGCAATATTTTTTGTTTATGAAAAGTTTGTACCTGAAGACGACTGTTCGGACTACCATTTCAAGCATTTAAGGATGGTTTAAGTATATCCAGGATGTTACTTGCCTTGATTTTAACTCCATTGCTTACAAGAGGCTTCAAAACAGACAAACCACAGTCACAAATCTTCGGCATTAATTCTTCATCAAGCATGATGTTGGCGGCCTTCAAATTGAAGTGCGCCAATGGGGGGAAAAAAGCATTATGCAAGTAACTGAAAATGCAGAAAGACAACGATTATAACCCCATAAAATATAAGCTGATTGAAGCTTCCTTAGACAAAGAGATACTTATGAGTTAGTGGCATAAATATAAAAAGCACTTGAGAAAAATCAAAATTGTTCGACGATAGAGATTACGAAGCCACGTTCCACAAGCAAGTTTCTAGATCAAAAGAAGACTCAGTCCTGATTATTAATGTACTTACTCCAAAGCCTTGGCAACTCCATGAGCAATTTGGAGTCGAACACTCCACGATAGAGGGTTTTGTCCGACGCTGTGCAGAGCATCATCAAGAGACAGATTCCCGACATACTCATAGGCTAGTAGATGTTGCCCGTTCTCTACACTATATCCAAGAAGGCTAACAATGTTAGGATGCCTCAGACGAGTAATAGTGCAGACCACATCCAAAAACTGTTGTTCTTCTGTGAAAGAGAGTGCTGCCATATCAACCATTTTCACAGCCAAAATCTGATCCAAAATACAAATGTAGTTAGATTTTTTCATTAGATACACTGGCATCAAATATGAGTATCATTTTGAAAAGTAAATTGGTAGTACTGATTCAAGTGTGCTCATTATACTTGGCCATCGGGAAATTCAGCTTTATAGACAGAACCAAGAGATCCCTCTCCAAGAAGGTTTTCTTCACTGTACTTGTTAGTAGCAGACTCAAGCTCAGTCACGGTGTAAGTTTTTGTTTTCACTGGGAACCTGGATCTCCTAGAGAAACTTCTTCTGCCATATGCCCTCACAGTTCTGGCATGACGAGTAGAACAGGCACGATTTGGACCGCCACGTATGACTGGAGAACCGACAGGCAAGATATTTGGACTATCATCTGGTGGAATAACTGTCTATCACAACACAGATAGAGAAAAACATAAAACGAGAAAAGATGACATTAATTGAAAACGGCACAAGCAACAGTTTGTAACCAAAATTTGTTTAATTTCTTGGCATAAAATTGATGCAGAAATCAAATAATGTCTCTAAAGATAATGACATTCATACTTAAACAAATGACTGGAACAAGTAGATGAGTATATTCAATGAGAGATTTTTCCCCTACTCCCTAAATGGTGAGAGCGGAGCACTTCATACTAAATTTCATCGAAACATAATTCTTTGTTCCCAAAATTTTAAAAGACCTCAAGAAAAATGAAGTGGAAATAATTGAATCATTGGGTTCAATAAATATCTACACCATATCTTCTAAAATCTTGATGGTAAAACCATAAAACTCAGTATATTGTGCCCTCCAGAACATAAAAATAGAATGTTTGAATCAGAAACACACAAGCAGGTGAAGGTAGTACAAATATAGGAAAAAACATAGAGACCAATGGCACTAAACTCAGTCAAAACTTGACATGAATGTTCCGTAAATTTATTAATCAATCCTTCATTTTAAGATATTTGGGTAATTTGTTCACGTGTAATCATGTTTCACTATATACATCCCAGAAGGTACGATAGAGAATGTAGCAGTATGAGAAGTTGCATCTGAGGAGAAGATCATTCACCTGCAGCTGTGCTGATTGGAAGAGACATGTTTACGTGCTTCACGCTCCCTTTCTTTGCACATATTTGAGTCTTGCAGATTGCAATAAATAGAGCTGCAAGGATTATCACAAAACCACCTCCACCAGCCACTATAGCTATTCCACCAGGACCTAATTTCCCCCCCTTTTTCCCAACCTTTTTCTTGTAGGGACATTTCTCGATGATAATTGACTCAGTTAATGGAGGCCTGCTATTGTTGTACGTCAAAGGTGCTTTTTCCAAGGAAAAATCGCAGGGTGGAGATTTACTTACATCGAACCCATTTCCCCCAATCCTGATGAGGGATTGAGAGGCAACATAAGAAAAAACTTAGAGATAAATAATGCCTAGTTTTGGCAAAAGAAAGACCCTAACTGCTAAGAGATATAAAAACCTCACCATAAATGTGGAATTGTCTTAAAATGCTCTGGAATAGTGCCGCTAAAGTAATTGTCTTGGATGTTCCTAGTAAAGTTTAATGTGAGTCAAAAGGTTATATAGTGACACAAGTTAAAATTCAGTAGAACGGTAATGGAAAAACATACAAATCAGTTAATGGAAGATGAGATAAGTAGGAAACCGATCCTGTGAATTTGTTTTCCTGCAAGAACCTAGTATGCTAGATATTAATGAAACTAATAATTTGTATTAATTAATTTATCAAGAAGAAATAATCGAATTCAAAAACCCACAGTCTATTGATATTAGTCAGAGCAGCAAATGAATTTGATAAATCTCCAGTGAAGTTGTTATATGACAGATCCCTGTAGAATAAGAACAATCAGTGGTTAAAACAGCCTAACCAAAAGGATAACTAACTCAAGCATATTATAATTTCACATTTCAATATAAGATTCAACAGATAACTTATGCTTGATTAACTTCGATATAGTTGCCAACAATGGAGATTACTATCCATTTGTTAGCTACGCTCGCTAAGAGTAAAAATATATCCAGTCTGTATCTTCTTTCTTGGTCATGGAAAATCTTAATGGGCTTATACTAGGAAAATTAGCCAATTCCTTACATTTCCAATTCAGAGGAATTAAGAAAACTGGTGAAAAATCATACATCTCCACAAGATTTTGTAGGCCAGAAAAAACATTTGCAATGGGGCCAGATAGCACATTATGGCTTAGATTCCTGCACATATAAGAATATGATTTCAGATGAAAGAAACATTAAGACAGGCACTTACAGGTCTAGGAGCGACTAAAGCAAGACATGTAACTTACATATAAGTGACATTCGGGGGTAACCCGGAAGGAATTTCACCCAGAATTTTATTGCAGCTAACATCCCTAATGAAAAAAAATATCATTAAGCAAATGATTTTTGGTTGAACCATAATGGAAGAAAGTGGTTCATTCTTACAGTCGCTTCAAATTATGGAGAAGATAAAGCTGGTCTCCAAGATTCCCAGAAAGGTTTAATCTATTAAGTTTACTGCATAAAAAGAAAACTTCTAAGGGTCCTATTTACAGGGACTCTTGGAAAATCGAATGAACAAAGGGCCGAGTTAAGTACATTACAGGTCTATTACAGATGAACCAACACAAAACACCCCAGTCCACGTTCCACCGCAAGGATCCCCACCATTTGTTCTCCATCCTTTAAGCTCAGGTGGGTAGTTTAGGGTACTATACAGATTGAGAAGAGCTAAAACTGGACATTGGAACGCCAGAAAATTCAGAATTGACATGAATTCGACGCTTAGCTTAAATTGTTTTAAGAAAACCCTAATTTCTTTAGTTCAATCTATCTTACATAACCGGTAAAATTAGTATTGATCAATAAAACGCAGTGCTATTGATCTCATTCCAATTTCGTTATTTAATTCTCCTATAAACCAATCAGGGGAAAGCATCTAAGCAGAAAAAACAAATCAAGAATACGAAAACGACAAGAAGATCATTAGGGTTACCATCCTGCGGGTCAGTAAAGCACTGAACGACTGAAGTCAGAGTCGCCAAGAAGACAATGACACTGAAATACATTACCGCACGGAGGTGGGCCATTTCTTGAGAGATCACCACCAGTTTAGACGTTTTTTTCTTCAATCGCTAAAACAGAACAAAACAAACATTCAGAATTCAGAATACCAAATGACAAACAGTCAAAATTCAGAATGCCAATCGTATACCAACCAATCCGCAAAACGAATCAGCAGAGCAGAGCGGAAATGTAACGAGGAATGTAGAAATTTCGGGTCAGTCGAACTGCTTCTCGTAGATTTTCGAGCAGTAAAGAACGTCAAAAGGTCCAAAGAAAGCAGAGCAGAGCGGAGTGTAAACTGAGACTATGGCAATGGAGAAGGCGAAGTTCTTGATTACGGAACAACTGATGAGCTGGCATCCACGTAAGCTAAATCCGCTAAGTCCTTGAGACCACGTGTATTACTCATGCTGGCAATTTTACCGAACGTTACTTCCAAAAAGTACATTTTTTTTATTATTGAAAATGAAATTTTTAACAACAATAAAATAATTTAATAGAATTTATGATTATTTTCATGAAATTAATGATTACATTTTTTAGTTTTTTATGTTTGCGTCAAATTATTACTTAGGTTAATTGAAAAATGGTCCTTGTAAATAACTTCTCGTGATAAGATAAATGATCTTATGATTAATAACAATAATATAATTATTTTATAATCAAAAGTTGTACTTCAACGTCACATATTCTACGAATAAATTGACTCAAATCGAACATCTTTTAAATGTTGGTTTCAATTTGATTATAAAATAAACTTTCACTATAAGCAAACTTCCATTATTCGATTAATGACGTACACTTGCTTATTTGGGCATCTTTAAAACTAATCATTCTAATGATGTACACTTTGCTTTTAATTTCACTTTGAGAGAAAATAAAAATCTTAGAAGTTGAGTAATTTTTTATATGATTATATAAATTTAGAGGAGCCAATGATAAATACTTTATTTCTACGTCAATTCAAACATAATTACGCAGATGAAGCACTAATATTATTTTTGAGGTCGTTAGTTCAATTCTATACATCTACAATGGTCGAAAATTGATTAACTCTTTCAAGAACTGTCTGTGCGTGAGACGAAGAAGATTCTTACTAAAGCGTCTATTATACACATAGGAAAGTATTTTTCTAAAATGAGGTGGAAGGATAGCTGTATGTTGGTGAACTTACGTAGCCAGTGTTGGTAGAACGAAATGATTTTTCAAAAAGATCCACTTCAGTTCCTTCTATAGCAGCACGTTTGGCCATCTCCATCTTCCTTTGAAGATTCGTTAAATGTTCCACTATTTCGGACATTGGCGGTCGGAATTCCTTCGCAGGCTGATCATCCATAGATGAAATGCACAAGGCAGAGAGTTAGAAAAGTTATTCCATAGATGAATGTTTAAAGTGGACGATTTTAGAGAGTCGTGATTCCTAACATGATACTAGAGTCATTCCCTTCATTTAGTCATGTCAATAGAATCCTCAAGTATCGAACAAATAAATTGCTAGCCTCGAAGGAGTAGTCAAAAGTGACTCATGTGTTGAACAAAGGGTGTACTTTGTTCGAGGGCTTCAAAGAAAAGAGTCGAGCCTCGATTAAGGGGAGGCTGTTCGAAGGCTACATAGACCTCAAGAGAAGCTCTATGGTGTACTTTATTCGAGGGGAGGATTGTCGGGAGGAAATCCCAGATTGACTAATTTAGAGGATGATCATAGGTTTATAAACAAGTAATACATCTTCATTGGTACGAGGCCTTTTGGAGAATCCAAAGTAAACTCATGAGAACTTATGCTTAAAGTGGACAATATCATACCATTGTAGAGAGTAGTATAGAAAGTCGTGATTCCTAACAAAACTATGCCTACGCCAAATTAGTTCATTCATGTCGGAAGCTACTTCAAATCAGTCTAGAAATAAACTAAGGCACATTAGATTTCATTACCTGTATACAAAGGGAGATGATATCGACAAAGCGTGAGAGGGAGTTAGAGGAAAATGTTCCTTTAATGCTTGGATCAACCATCTGTTCTAAACTCTCGTTGTCATGAAGCCGAGATGAAGCCCATTTCACCAGCGATTGCTCTTCCCTCGGTTTCGAACTGGGTAAAAAGAACAAAAGTATTCACGTTCAAAACTGCAACGAGAGCTTGAAAAGAAAGAGAAAACCATGAGTTGTTTCGAATGAAACTGTACTTGTCAAATGGTTTTCTTCCTGTGACAAGCTCCAAAAGCAACACTCCAAAGGTATACACGTCACTTCTAGTATTATCAAATCCTGGCTGCCCATGTTCAGGTGCAAGGTAGCCTATGTCACCGCTGACAATCTCAGAAGCCTGTTTTCATCAGTTTTTACACGTAAAATTCATGAAAAAATTACCACAAGAAAACAAGGAAAATTTTAAAATTGTAGTTTATGAACAATGTTACTCTTCCAAAATGAACATTTAGAGCTGTTTATTTACTATCAAATGCAAAACAGTAACAATAAAGCACATTCTCAACTGTTTTTTTACCTTCGTTTTAACTCCATTGGTCACAAATGGCCTCAAAACAGACAGCCCACAATCACAAATACGAGGCATCAGTTCTTCATCGAGTAAGATGTTGGCAGCCTTCAGACTGCAGTGAGCAAATGGAGGGAAAAAACTTGTATGCAAATAACTGAAAATCCAAAAGGAAAACAGTTATAAACCCTCAAGAATACAACTATTAATGAAAACCTTGTCTCAAGGTAAAAGAAAGTGCTTTAGAAAGGATGAACCAGAAGTTTTTATACATCACAAAGAATAAGGGTGAGTTTTGGCATTTAGAGTAATTTGCATTTTTCTCAAAATGTTTATAGAAAAAACATAGATACAAACGACAAAAACCGTAGAATGCTTGTTAAGCTAGTCATACATTGAAGATTTGGAAGCCAAATTAAATTTTTTTTAAAAACATATATTGCATATAAAATGTAAAATCACAAATGAACGAAAGATTTTTGCCTCTCTTAAGTTTGGTCAGACAACATGAAATTGATGATCAAATACTTTACTTACTCTAAAGCCCTAGCAACTCCAAGAGCAATCTGGAGACGGACAGTCCATGACAGAGGCATGTATGCTTCACAGTGTAAAGCGTCATCAAGAGACAGATTTCGAACGTATTCATATCCGAGAATATGTTGTCCATGCTCTACACAATATCCAAGCAGCGTAACAATGTTCGGGTGCCCCAAACGGGAAGCAGTCCATACCACATCCAGAAATTGCTCTTCTTCTGTAAACGAGAGAGCTCCCATGTTGAGATTTTTTACTGCCAAAACCTGGTAGAAATTAGAAGTCAGAAAAAAGTTCATGGAGGTCAGATCAAACTTTGCTCGTATAGGGATCATTTTACTTGGCCATCAGGAAATTCAGCTCTATAAACAGCACCAAGAGATCCCTCTCCCAGAAGATTCTCTTGACTAAAGTTGTTTGTAGTAGATTGAACCTCTGCCAGGGTGTAAATTTTTGTTCTCACTGGGAGCCTACATCTGTTTGAGAAACCTTTTCTTCCTGAAAATTTCTCGGTTCTCGTGTGATTTAATATAGGTATAGGCCTTGGACAGCTCATGAATTGAGAACTCAGGGGCAAGCTTTGTGAGCCTTCTTCTGGTGCAGTTGATGAACCATCTATCACAGAAAAAGAATTGCTTAATATCTGGAAAAAAGATGCTAGTCGAGTAGAGGCATGCTTTACATTTACGAACATGCGATCAGAGACTGAAAAGATGAAATTCAATATTTGTAACGTATCAAACGTTTGAAGCCAAACTCACTAAGGGAAACTAGTCTTCGTGTTATGATGGGAGCTTTTGCATTTTCATCATACTAAGAAGATGAATTCCCATAACACTAATATTCCGTTTCAAATCTTAGACGACTTCAAGAAAACAATGCCATTTACATAATTGAACGATTACATTCTTCAAGTGTCAACATTACCATTTCCATTGTGACATATTAACTTTGAGACTCGGAAGACAAAAAAGTAGTATGTTGAGATCAGAAATATATCTGTCCCAATGATAGGAGAGAACAAAGACCTATGGGATTAATATAGGTCAGATATCTACCTGTATTGGTAGGGTTTCTTTTAATCATTCAATTAGTTATATAAATTAGCCAATAAGCTTCGATCTATTTATAGTTAAACAGCACCAAGTCCACAACATGAAGACATCTGGCAATAAAAAACAAAAATCTGGAAGAACTTTATAAGGAGATGGATTCACCTTCAGCTTTGCCCAGAGAAAGAGAACGAGGTAACGTATTGCTAATCTTCAAATTTATTTTCTTTTCATGAACTTTCTTCATGGAAAATACGACAAAGAGAGCTGCAAAGGTTACTACTAGTGTCACTCCTCCTACCAGGAGACCTATTCCACCAGAACCATGCCTTCTCTTCTCATGCCTCACGGCACCACGAGAGGGATAATTCTGGATGGCGTTTGACTTGGTTGTTGGAGGACCACTGATGTTCTGCATTATAGGATCTTTTCCCAGGGGAAAATCCCAGGGTGGAGAATTAACTTGTGGACGAAGCCTATTGCTCCCAATCCTAAACAGAGGTCAAGTGAAATTTTCTTTTGAGTAACTTCATGACCCAGTTTAGGCAAAAGAATCCACCACCAATAGTTGAAATTTGAAAAGCTTACCACAAATTTGGAATGTTTCTAAAATTGTCTGGAATAATGCCATTAAAATAATTGTCTTGGATGTTCCTGACAGAAGAAGGGATGTGAGTGAGTACACGAGTAGCTAGCCGAAATAGGCAGAGATTCTACACTGGACGGAGAAGAGGAAGCCATGGATAACATACAAGTCAATTAATGGAAGGTGGGACAAGTAGGCAACTGATCCAGTGAATTGGTTATGCTGCAAGAACCTAGTCTAGATAGCATTAATATGATAAATAGTTGTTCAAATTTTTGTATTAAGAAAGAAGAAATAAATAAATACAAGAAACTCACAGTCTAGTGATGTTCGTCAGAGAACTGAAGGAATTTGGCAAATCTCCAGCAAAGTCATTATATGATAAATCCCTGTGAAAGGGGATTAATCATCGGTTGAATCCCATGACCAAAAAGGATTGTATGTAAAAATTTAAACAACCCAAAGTATTATGAGTTAATATCTGAATGCGAGAGTCGAATTGTAGAAAAAGTATGGAATTTTGTGAGGTAAATTAGAAAGGCATGCAGTAAGACACAAATCAGCAGTTGACTTGATTAATTGTCCGTTCAAATCGGTTCAATTCAAAGGCAGAAATAACATTATTAGCGAAGAAGGAAGCGTACATCTCTCTCAAATTCTGTAAACCAGCAAACACATTTCCAAGCACACCAGATAGAGTATTATGGCTCAGATTTCTGCGTGCAAAAGAATATGGATAAAGAACGAAGGACCTTTAAACGTTAACGCAACGGTAGTCAAAGATCTACTTACATATGTCGGAGATTTCCCATGTAAGATAAAGTATGTGGAAGATTTTTGCTTAAACGGTTGAATGCCATATTTCTGCAACATATAAGAATTGTACAGAATCTATTAAACAGAGTAACTGGGTACATGCCATATTTTCAAATACAAAAAGAACCCTTTGAGTACGCAACTATGGATGAAAACACAGCACATGCAACTTACATATGAGTCGCATTAGGAGGCAAGTTGTGCGGAATTTCACCCGTAAGTCTATTAGAGCTAACATCCCTAACAAGATAATTAAACAGACGTAATCACACAGTAATCAGCAACATTGACAATTGTTCTATTGACCAAAAAAATAACCTACATTTGCTTCAAATTTATGAGATTGTTGAGCCGTCCTCCAAGATTCCCAGTGAGATTTAGTCCATGGAGCTTACTACAGAAGCAGATAATATTCAGAGAAGCACTTCGGTCAAAGAAGGAAACATAATATCAAGTACATGTTTATGATGTTCAAGGAGCTTTATGACATTACAGGTACATTACAGAGAAACCGGAGCAAGACACTCCAGTCCATGATTCCTCACAAGGATCTCCACCTTCTTTTCTCCATCCTTTAAGCTCTAGTGGATAGTTCATGGCACTGTACAGATCCTGAAGAGCTGCAACTGTTCAGTACACAATATCAATCCGTCAATAACGGGTAAAAGAATAGCAATAAAGCTTCGGAATGATTCGCAAGCAGGTGATGTCTACGATTATCATATATTAATCCTCAAGATAGCTTATGATCAGGAGGCTATCAGAAGACGTCAAGAAACTATAACCATAAAAACCAGTGCTCTATTCCAATCAAGTTCCTAATTCGAAGCCAAGAAACTAAAATTAATAAGCTACATTCAAGCAAAAAAAATGTAGTTGAAATAGTTACCATCCGACGGATTAGTGAAGGCCCTAGCCAGCGATGTCAGAATCGTCAAATAGAAAACGACATTAAAATACCCAAACAGACGCTGTTGGAGCATTTCTCCAAAAACCACGGTCCAGTTTGATGATTCTCTGTTTCCATGGAACAAAGAATCGAACACAAGTAAAGCGTCAAGAACATGGTAGCGTACAAGAAGATTAAACCACAAAAGAAGTCACCACACCGATATTCCAAGTACAAAAAGACGAAGTAGTTAAAGCCGAAGAACAGAGTTGTTTTCTTGCTACTCTTTCTCTGCAACAAGAATCACTCCAAAAAGAAAAAATGGCGGCACGGAGAAGTTGTTCAGTGGAAGTTAGGGTTTGGAAATGGTACCTTCGAGAGAGAGAGCAGAAGGAAGGCGTGCTGAACTGGTTCGCACAGAGAGAAAATGAACTCGTACGGACAGGTGTGGAGTGTGAAAAAATCGCCTGCAAATGAGCGTACTCTTTGGCGGCAATGAAGACGATGAAGTTTTTGCAATTGTTGGAAGTTGATGAGCTGGCGTCCACGTCGGCTGAAACGGTTACGAATTTATATGTGTTTTCTAAATAAAAGAGTTTTTTTAATGATATTCTTTTTTTAAAAGAGGGTCCAAATAGCGGTAAATTATTTTTCGTTCCAGAGGTCACGAGCTATGGCGGAATCAGCTTTCAAGCAATCCAACGAACCAGACGATGGAGAAGAAGATTACATGGGCGACCTTTCTAAGTTGCTTCCTCCTGAAGTTACTAGCTCTTCCAAATCCATGTCCAAGAAGGTAAGGTCTGCTGGCTTTGCTTTGTTCTTCAGCTAATCGATAAATTCTAGGGCTAGTTACTCCATTAGTTTCTTGGACTTAAAATCAAATTTAATTGCAGCTTCCTGCTAATAAAACCCCTGCTGTTCAAACGTCGATTAAGAAGCCCAAAACCTTCAATTGGCAAGAACAGCGCAGACGGGATAGAGAACGGAAGCAATTCGAAGAGGATGAACAGACATTGGCGAGAATAGAGGCTCCGATTCCACAATCGAACATTGGATTTAAGTTGTTGAAGCAAATGGGGTACACTCCTGGCGCAGCTTTGGGCAAGGAGGGATCGGGACTGGCAGAGCCTGTGGGCCTTGAGATTCGACGGTCACGAGCTGGAATTGGCCGCCAAGATCCGATTAAAGAGAAGAAGAAGCAAGAAGTTATAAGATCTGAGAGAAAGAGGAACCATCAGGAGGCCTTGATGGAGGAATTTGGGTCTCGACAGAAGCTGCAGTGGCGAAGTCGAAGAATTGTGGTCAATTACCACAAGGCGAAGGCAGCACTTGATCAGTTGGAGAATAAGGAAGTTGTGGAGCCAGAGAAGAAGGACGATGAGGAGGAAGGAGATGAGGAAGAAGAAGAGGAAGAGCTTATAACAGAAGAGGTATAATTCTATTCTGAAAGTTCTACCACCCTCCTTAATTTCTTGTAAAGTTCTCTCTTTGGTAGGTTAGGAATCACAATGGTATGATATTGTTCGATATTGTCTACTCTAAGCATAAGCTCTCGTGATTAAGCTTTTGGTTTTCTTAAAAGACTTTATACTAACGAAGATGTATTCCTTATAAATCCATGATCAACCCCTTCATCAATGGATGTGTGTCTCTTCTCCCAACAATCCTCAACAGTCCTCCCGTTAAACAAAGTACACCATAGAGCCTCCATTGAGGCCTATGGAGCCCTTGAATAGCCTCCCCTTAATCAAGACTCGACTCCTTCTTTGGAGCCCTCGAACAAAATACACCCTTTGTTCGACAGTCACTTTTGACTACACCTTTGAGGCTCACGACTTTTTTGTTCCGACATTGGAGAATTCTATTGACATTCTTAAGTTAAGGGCATGACTCTGATACCATGTTAGGAATCACGATTCTCCACAATTGTATGATATTGTCCACTTTAAGCATAAGTTCTCGTGGTTTTGCTTTTGGTTTCCCCAAAAGGCTTCGTACCAATGGAGATGTATTCCTTATAAACCCATGATCAACCCCTTAATTAGCCGATGCGAGACTCCTCTCCGGGTAGGATCAATCTTTCATTTTTATGTTATATAAAGCTTCTCTTTCATTTTTTGATTCAAGATTAAAATGAATTGCTGTCTGCCATTTGTTAGACTACTCTGCTATTTCAAAGTCGAGCTCTATTAATTGGAACCCTGTGGTGGACATTTGCGAAGAAAGATCAAATAAGACAAATATTTAAGAAGAAATGAAATTTCTCATACTGGAATTTTTTAGGCACACCATCTCTCAAATCTCTTCTTTTGTCCACTCCACATATTTGATTCAACTACACCACCTCCTGTATATTTATTTACTCTGAAAAGAAACAATTTCATTATTAAATGTAAGATACAAGAGGGAGAGACCCAGGGCAAGTAGTTTACAAGGGCAAGTAGGTATAAAAAGAAGAAATAGGAAGTTACACCTTTCAGATGCTTCACCCTGCTCCCAAAAGCTGTCATTTCTACAATTCCATTAACCTTAGCTTTTAGCTCAAATTCTGGAGTCAAGTTAGTTTTCAATGTCTTTTAGGTGATGTTCCTATTTTTGACCCATACCCTGCTTCTTAGGCTGTTACTCATTATTCACATGATATATATGTATATAGATAGATATATAAATTTGTGTTATTTCTGGTGTGAACGTGCTTGCTGGGGAATTGGTATAACATAGGTCTGTGATTGATGCAGGATTTGGAGAGTATTTTGATTAAACTGAGAGATGAACATCGATATTGCCTTTTCTGTGGATACCAGGTGAGTGTATTGCACCAATCTTTTGAGACAATAGTTCAAGATTGACTTGTATGTTATGCTAAACCTGAATCCTCCTTTTCTTAACATCATTCTGCTGTTCATTGCAGTACGACTCGAAAGAGTTGCTCCTATCTAACTGCCCTGGAATTAATGAAGATGATCACTGAACTACCTTTTCCTCCAAACGCTTCTACGGAGATGCCCCCTTCATATTAAGGGTTGCATCATGTGCTTTACTATGTCTTTGTCGACATTAACGGCATAATCTCCCAGAAAGAAATCCAATCTGAAGTTGCTGTTCGGAATAGCGGTTAATGGATAGAACAAGTTTTTTGAGTTTTAAGGCCCAAAGTAGGAGTTCTGTGACACCAAATCTGCTCTACATAATACTTGGGCCAAGCTCCCCCGTATTGTGTCCTTTTGAGTGCGAAGTGTAAGAATTTGAACTGTGATGTCGAATTCAAGTTTCCTGGCAGCGGCTGGCACAAAAGTTGGCGGGTAAAAGGATTTGAAGGATATGTTGAACATTCTTGAAGTGGTATCTTTATTATTGAAATTTAGTTGCTTGTTAATCTTTCTGTCATATTCCCTGATAATGCAGTGACAATCTGTAAGAGATTTTGCCCTATTCTGGATTCAAGTTTTAACAATCTTCTCTGCTTTTTATCTTATAAATGTAGTAGTGAATTACATGGCGACTCCTTGAGGTCGTTTCGAGAAGAATGTACATGGAAATTGGGTCACAATTTTACACTTGTTTTTGGGTGAAATATACTTTTGATCTTTCAGTTTGTAGATCAGTTTGTTCTTAGACCATTAGTTATTACTAACAAACTTTTTACTGAGTTGAAAAATTAATCTTAGACCATTCAAAGGCAAGCAGCTAGCAATGGCAAAATCAGACTAAACACACAAGCACCAGACAGTTCCATAGTAAAATGTCAAAAGGGAAAGAGTTCAGGTCTCAAGTCTTCCTGATGTAGTTCATAAAACACAAAAGGAACAATAGTTTTCAACAAACCCAACCAGGGGGGGAATGGCGTAGACGATGAGTTCAATGTCTCGAGCCAATTATTCATTCGAAAAGGCCTAAAAGAGAAGTGGATTTCACTGGAACCAGAGAGCTGAAGTGCAGCAGCACCTCAAAGTGACCAGTGCAGATGCTGCTGGGTTGAGTCGAAGGCACCTGCTGATTGCCCAAGTTCCATGTATGGCCTCCTACTACCCTGATTAGGAAACTGGACATCACCAGAGAAAGAACTAGTAGTAAGAGCCTGTGAAACTTGATGATTCAGACCCAAGTCAGATGCCAGGTCCAGGGAGATGCTAGCAGGAGATTCATTTCCCTTGAAACTCCACGACGACATCGACATCGACATCGGGAAGTGATTGGTAGCAGCATGAGCTGATGTTGTTTGAGCCACAAGTGCACCTTCAGCATTCAACAAGGCTGCATTTACCTCGAGAGGCGTCGATCGGTTTCTGGAGCCCCATGTTTGGTTTGACAGAAGAGAGAGAGCACAGGATGAGTCAGTGACTCCATTGATGCATTCCCCAGAAGGATTACCAGGACCAGAATAACTGGTTCCACCTGCTGAAGAAACTGGCAGGAGAAGTTCAGATGGATTGCTCTGCCAAGGATTTGGGATATATTTCCCCATAGAAGTGATGCCTTGATTTCCGGGCACCCGTTCGGATGATGCTTTCATACCCGACGACGACCAAACATCCTTTCCAGTCAGCTTTGGATATGCACTGAAGTCCATCAGAAAGCTTCCAACTCTGCTGCTGTTTTCTATCATTGCAAGCAGCAAACAAGTGGTCGTTAATCTTTGCACAAAGCTAAGTCAAGACATATCATTTCAATGAATAATGGCAATGTCTAACCAAAGATAGATGAAGAGAAGCGACCATAACGAGTGGACAACAGTGACCCAGGCGGTGGCTTCCTACGGCGCTCATTATGCCCAGCCAGACGTCTGCGGCAGCTACGTTTTCCTTGATCAAATTCAGGAAGCTGATGAAATCTGATAAAAACCAAAGCCGCAATCACTTTCAGTGAACTACTTGAGAATTTTGCATACATCAAACCTTGCGGTTGTATAAATTTAATTTCGTGAATCAATTTAGATCTTCATTAGTGACGTATAGTTGTATTTTCATTCATTCGATTCAAAATCAACGATAGATTAAATTACTCTTCTCCCAAAATCCTCCGAAAAGAGCGTAATTTTTTCTAAATAATGTTTCGTTCTCCTCTCCAACTAATGTGGGATCTCACAATTCACTCCCCTTCGGGGCCCAGTGTCCTTGCTGGCACACCGCCCATGTCCACCACCTTCGGGACTCAGCCTTCTTGCTAGCAGTGTCTGGCTTTGATACCATTTGTAATGGCTCAAGCCTACCGCTAACAAATATTGTTCTCTTTAGGCTTTCCCTTTCGGGCTTCCCCACAAGGTTTGAGGTTTCCATACCCTTATCAAAATTGTTTCGTTCTCCTCCCCTGCCGATGTGGGATCTCACAATATGCATGGTAAAGGAAAGAAGCTAAGAATACTATTGTATATGTTGTAAAAATGGAGCAAACCAGGACATTTAGAGTAAACAGAGCTAAGAATCAACGATATCAAGTCAAGAGAAGGAAACAAAGCACAAAATCTGGAGGACAGCATTTGGACACGCTACCACAACACAAGCTTAAAGATCTGCAAGGATGGCATATCAACACAAGCTTGATGCTATGTACTCGATGCATTAGCATCACGCAACGACACCAATCCCTGCTCAACGACACCAATCCCTCCTTAATTTTCTCATAGTTTTTGCTTAAACTTCTAAAGATTTCTTAGCAATTCTTAGGAGCATTAATGGCAAAGTCCAAGACAACATTAATTCCAGCTCTTGGAGTCTTCAGGCTATCCACCCCTCAAGTTCGTTCCATTCACATTAATATGCATGAGAAAGAAGCTTGCAATTGTCTCTAAGTTCTTGATTGCATATTTTCTTCCTTTTCATTATATCAATGGGAGGTTTCTGTTCTTATTTTGACCAATGGTAGGGAATTTTGGTAGCCTCCTTGGACTTTTAAGGGATTGAGTGGAATATCAAGTTATGTAGCTTCTATTGCATTCAATTCATATCACAAAAGTTGGAATAGAAAATCAAGCAGGAACACAAAGCGAACGAACAGCTTGATGAAGGGTAGGCTATTGTATTGACTGCTATCAACCTCTTATGCTAGAGCTCCATATGAACATCCATTCACAGATTCAACCAAAGTAGTTGAAGGAAAAAGATGAATCTAAGCTTTGAAACAAAAAAGAAACTCAGAACAACACAGTAAAATGAATCTAAGAACTAATCAGAGACCATTCATAAGAACTAATCAAAGATAAAAGCAAAGAGAGTGTGAGGTGACCTGCTACACTGTTGGCAAAACCTTTGCTCAAGACCAGCAACAATGACCTTGGGGGATTTGGAGTGCATAGTACAAACTTTGTGTCTGGAATAGTAAGCCTTAACATCACTTAGATCTACTTTACAGCCTTCAACCTGACACCTAGGGGGCTGAGCCGGCTGAACAACGCCTCCCCTAAGCTTCTTGGTGGGTGTTGATGCAATAAGAGGCGAGGATGAGAAAGATCCCCCCCCGCCTGATTTAGGAAGCTCTCCAATACCCACATCTTCAAAGTAAATTTTGTGTCCAAATTTGAGGCCATTGAGGGATTCGGCTGATGAATTGGGCGGCGAGGAAGTGGAAGACCCACCAGACTCAGTCAAAGAGCTGCAATCCATTTCCATTGGGGGTTCTCTCTAAGAAAGAGGGTTGGTCATAATGAGTGTGTGTGTTGGGAGGGAAAGAGAAGGAAATGGAGCTACTAAAGGGGAAATGGGAAAGACGGGGCCATTGCCAGCGGAGGGAGTTTTTAATTACTTGGTTTCTTGGGTATCGTATGAAAAAATAATGGAAGAATGAGAAAAGTAAAGTAAAATAAGAAAGAGATTTTGAAGTGATGATGGGTTCTTGGTGCTCTGTTGCCTGACGAGGTGCTCTGTCACCTGACGCCCTGAAACCCTTTCTCTTTCTCTTCAACCTCTCTTTTACCCTTTCCCCTCTCAAAACCTTCCCTTCCCTCCACCCGTCCCACATTGACTAATTAAGAACATGATTGCGAGTTTATAAGTAAAAAATGTTATCTCTATTGATATGAGACCTTTTGAAAAAAACAAAGGTAAAATTACTATGATATTTTATTAATAAGAAAGTAATAGTTACTATTTGTAGAAAGATTCCAAAGTAATTCGCATGGAATCGAAAAGTTATTTATTCATCATAAATTATATAAAATACTCTTAAAATTTTTATTTCTTATTTTAATTTCCCTTTTTTTTTATAAAACAAGGTTAAAATTGTCATTTTGAGACTCGTTTTCTTATAGTTTGTAGATTTTTAAATAACTAAAGTAAGTCTCTCCACCTCAATCGAGTCTAAAAAATTATTATAATTTATTATTAACAAAAAAAAATCGGACATAAATATGTTACAAACAAATTGATTTTTATTTTTTATTCTAAAAATTAAATAAAATATTTTAATAAATAAAGCAACATTTAGAAAATATTTAAAATTATATTAATGACCCCCAAAACCTGTGGAACCAAAATGTAATGATTTGTCATAACTTTCCTTTTTGACAAGATATTTTGTCATTTTTCAAAAATTGAATGCCTTTTTTATATCATTTTTTAATTAAAATTTTATTCATAAAAAAAAAAAGGGAAGCTAATTCTTTGCCAATTATTTTCCCATATTTTGTAAAAAAAGTTAAAATATCTTTATTGCTTCAATTCTTTCCAACTTTTTGTGTTTGCTTAGGAAGAGGAAAGTTACTCGAGGTTAAATTACTAAAATGACCCTGCAAATTATTATTGATTGTAACTACACGATCGAGAATTCTTGGGATCAAGTTCTCTCCAATAATTTTTTATGGATAATTTACATTTTTTTCAATATATTTTTTATTAAGTTTGATTCGTGTCTGTCTTACTCTTATCTATATTTTTACTTATATAATGAGGCAAGATAGAAAAATGGGGCGTGGTCGGGAATAAGGAATATAGCCTTCGTTTCCTTGTACCATTTAGTCTCCCTGCTCCCTCCCACATTTTCGGTGTAAGCGAAATTTTTTTACTTTACAGACCAGTGAACAGTTCCAGTTAAACTTATAGTTACTGTAGATAGATGTAGCGTATGCAAAGTCGGATTAGAATAATCAAAGTTTAATTAAATTTAAAATTTAATCTAACAGTAAAATTAATTTGTTGATTCTTTATTTTTATCTTAACTTTAATCCAATGTTTGATTCTTAGCACCAACAAACATGTTGGGAAGGTACATAAACTTTTTTATATTGAACAACTTTTTTCTTTATTTTTTATTCACTTTTTCCAAACATTATTGGAAGAGAATTAATAATGTGATATATATATATATATATATATATATATATATATATATATAGTGAAACTAAATCTTTGTCAATTATTTTATACTTTTTAACGTTAAAAAAGGTTAAAAATCTTGTTCGTGTCGAATTCAACAAATAATAATGTTTTGCTTGAAAACCATTTTGAATTGTACGATATACGTAGGGTCAATCCTATAAAGACATGTTTGAGATTCATGCTCCTTGAATGGATCTCTACTTGAAAACTAATACAGTGTGTATAAAACAACTATGCTCGAATTGGCTGATATCTTTTATATTTACATGACGAGTTTGTATTTTTTATTGGGTCGAGAGGTGGGTTTTGAACTATTTGTAAAATGATTCTACGAACGTTAAATTAGCGACGTAACGGGATGGTTTAAAAAGATGGAAGGTAAAAAGAGGAGATGAGTGGATTGGATGTAAGCAATAATTGGGGCGTTTTGGTGTGCATCCCATTAGCCATTATCCACATGGCCATCACATAAACAAGACCTGAACTTGGATTGGACATCTTCCACTGACAACCAAAGCAATAGTCTTGTCCCTTAAGATTTCAGAATCTTCAACAGTACATCCAACCATTTTCCTCTCTCTTTTTTTTTTTTTTTTTTTTTTTTTTTTTTTTTTTTTTTTTTTTTTTTTTTTT